GCGATTCTCACCTCTTCGATGACAACTCGGACAAACGGGAAGACTGCGTTGACGTTGGTGGCAGACAGCATGAGGCGACGGCTTTCCTCAAGAAACGCCTCTTTGGAAGTATTCAGCCGATGATGAAGTTTGCTCCAGATAAAAACAAGCTCCCTGCACAGGAGCACGTGGGCGTCAAGACAACATTAGAACTATTAACAACAACAACAAAAAAAGAAGAATTAAAGTGAGCTTCACCCACCATAAATAGTACATGTCACCCCTGCAGAGTTGTTGGGAGAGGAACACCTGACAGAGGGCTAACAGCAGTTCGTTTGTTTCCTCATTCTCTAAACTGCAGATGATGTGCACCGCGTCTTTACCGCTGAGATCAGCAACCTGAAGAAAACATTTCAGGTTGGGGGGGCGGAGAGAGAAAGACAAAATAAATCCAAGTGCACCTAAATGGCAGCAGCGAAACACAGGTCTTAACTCCTTTAATGCCAGCCGTATTCCTCAAATTGGGACAGCCGGTGCCGACCATTTTGGGCCATGTTGACCCATTTTGAAAGCCTGCAGAAAAAATTGAGTTCTCGAGCTTTGTAAGGAGAAAGCTTTCGCCCTCTTTTTTTCATCAGCAATAAAAAGTACAATTTATTGCAAGATCAACGCTGCACTGATGCACAACCTACGGACGAACTTTGCATGAACTTTGTGTGTGCATGTGTTGGTAGGATGACAATGGGACTTTGGTCATCTTTTGGGGATTTGAAAAAGTTCTGTTGTAGAGCGAGCTGCCGGTATTTCTCACCGCGACACTGCTTCCGCACGCCACCTTGTGACGTAGGATCGCCATTCAACACTCATAACTGCTCATACTGTGTGTGGACTGAGATCTGACCAAAGCCACTTCTGCCATCTAGTGGTAGTTTATCATACTGAAACCATTCCCGCAGCCTTGATACTGACCGAGGGGGTGCGTGAAGCCCTTTATTATTATTATTGTTATTAAAACATTTTTTCAATTAAAAAAAAAACCACCCAAAGTGTATGTATACGTTTTGGCACTGAACAATCAGGTTTTTGCAAGCATATTTTTACGTTGTGGCATTCAATGAGTTCACGGCCAACTGCCCCGCCCCCTTGCCACCTACTTCTTGAAGCAGCTGATTGTATTGCGTCTTGTAAAGCCACGTGAGGTAGACCTGGAGGAAGAACAAGTGTTTCCCTGCCGACGGATGCCGAACGCAACACTTTGCCAGGGCTAAAGCCTCACTGACGCGCTGGCAGGATATCAGGTAGCGCACCCGCAGCTCCAAGAACACTGGCAACTCGGAGCTGAGGAACCTGTCCACTGAGAAAGAGCAAAAGCAAAACAAGGTTGCCCAGTTATATACACACGCGCCGATTCTTTGCTACGAATATATTTAGGTAAAGGGGATCATTAACTGTATTCCTGCTTAATGGGCTCTTTTTATTTGGACATCAGTGATTTTGAGAGTGAGCAAAATTTGATCAAGTAAATGTAAGATCCAAAGCCATGCATGCAATGCATGGTGGCGCAAAATAAATAACTAAACAAAAAATTGCATTTCGTATCAGCAAAATAAGCATTTGATCAACACGAAGAAAGCAAACGGGCAGCAAGTATCACTGACCTTCATTCTGAGGTAAATTGGATTCGCTGAGGATTTCCTTTAAGGTTGTATTGGCCCAAGCGCCCCCCGCACCAAGCAAAGGCTCAACCTGAACTAAGTGAACATTCTGATGCCTTAAAAGGGCAGAATAACATTCCTAAAAAAAAAAAAAGACAAGAGGTTAATGTTTTATCTGTTAACTGTTCACCGTCATGTTCAGTGTGATGACAACAGAGGTGACGTGAAGTTGACATTCAAAACGTTTCAAGCCCTCCAATAGAACCAAAACTGCGACGCCTACGAAATCTTGACGTTTTGCTGTCGACCGAATGGATGAGGGAGACGAGAGATCAACATTTCAAACTGACAAATTGTTTAATGAGATTTGCTCTTTGGATGCAGCCGTGGTTGTCTTAAAGTGCTCGAGAAATACACTTGAGTTGACAACGTTTGTTTCATCCGCAATGCGCCGATGGCATTGTCAAAAATTGGGAATCTGCAGCGGCAGGAGAAGCATTTTCAAACGGTACGCGCGAGCAACCGTCGTGTCGTTTCTGCACTTGGCGCGCTACAAAATCCACTTTTGTAGCGCGTAGAACAACCTGGAATGGTTGTTGTCCGCGGAAACAAGACTGTTTCTCGACAGATTCCCAAAGGGGCTACCTGTTCCGTTCAAAGAGATCAACGTCGAATCGAAATTTGTCTCACGTATCCCTCGACGTCAAACCAAAATGTTTTCGGTCTACAGTAAACAAAAGGAATGGCATTTTTCAATTTCGTGTGTGCGTTAAAATTTCAGTCCAAAATATCCACATATGGTATATGGACTATTCACCTGGAATTTTACTGAGAAGTGTTTCAATGGCTCTTCGTGGAAATCTCGCTCATCAAAGAAAAGCAGCAACTCAAAAACACTCCTGTGTGAAGACAAAAGATACACACGCGCCGATTCTTTGCTACGAATATATTTAGGTAAAGGGGATCATTAACTGTATTCCTGCTTAATGGGCTCTTTTTATTTGGACATCAGTGATTTTGAGAGTGAGCAAAATTTGATCAAGTAAATGTAAGATCCAAAGCCATGCATGCAATGCATGGTGGCGCAAAATAAATAACTAAACAAAAAATTGCATTTCGTATCAGCAAAATAAGCATTTGATCAACACGAAGAAAGCAAACGGGCGGCAAGTATCACTGACCTTCATTCTGAGGTAAATTGGATTCGCTGAGGATTTCCTTTAAGGTTGTATTGGCCCAAGCGCCTCCCGCACCAAGCAAAGGCTCAACCTGAACTAAGTGAACATTCTGATGCCTTAAAAGGGCAGAATAACATTCCTAAAAAAAAAAAAAAAAAGACAAGAGGTTAATGTTTTATCTGTTAACTGTTTACCGTCATGTTCAGTGTGATGACAACAGAGAGAAATCTTGACGTTTTGCTGTTGACCGAATGGATGAGGGAGACGAGAGAGAGATCAACATTTCAAACTGACAAATTGTTTTATGAGATTTGCTCTTTGGATGCAGCCATGGTTGTCTTAAAGTGCTCGAGAAATACACTTGAGTTGACAACGTTTGTTTCATCCGCAATGCGCCGATGGCATTGTCAAAAATTGGGAATCTGCAGCGGCAGGAGAAGCATTTTCAAACGGTACGCGCGAGCAACCGTCGTGTCGTTTCTGCACTTGGCGCGCTACAAAATCCACTTTTGTAGCGCGTAGAACAACCTGGAATGGTTGTTGTCCGCGGAAACAAGACTGTTTCTCGACAGATTCCCAAAGGGGCTACCTGTTCCGTTCAAAGAGATCAACGTCGAATCGAAATTTGTCTCACGTATCCCTCGACGTCAAACCAAAATGTTTTCGGTCTACAGTAAACAAAAGGAATGGCATTTTTCAATTTCGTGTGTGCGTTAAAATTTCAGTCCAAAATATCCACATATGGTATATGGACTATTCACCTGGAATTTTACTGAGAAGTGTTTCAATGGCTCTTCGTGGAAATCTCGCTCATCAAAGAAAAGCAGCAACTCAAAAACACTCCTGTGTGAAGACAAAAGAAAAAAAAAAAAAAACAGACACGAGTCAAAGAAAAGGTCAACTCAGAATTTGTACCTTTTGGGAGGAATCTGGATATCACCCAAGTTGAAGAGGCCTGAAGTTGCACACTACAAATTCAACCCAATTAAGGAAAATAGAGCAGCCTGCAACTGTGCCCCTCTTCTACTCATGTCAAAAGGTCAGAGCGTTTTGTCGTTTGTGGTTTTTAAGAATCTTCAAAAGTGAGCTCGGATCAGGTGCGTCTGCAAAGCAAAGCGCCTTCGCATTTTGCCGTGAAGACGGACTTTTTTTTTTTTTGTTTTGTTTTCTGGGGGCTTGCCAAAGAAACAAAATGTAAGTGGCCTCCGGACACCCATTTCACTCGCGATCAATCCGGCCGGTTAAGAAAGCTGCCTGCGTTGTACGTCTCTCGGTACCCGCGCATCACGCTGACGGCTACGATTTCCCAAAGTTTTATTTTGATCAGCGTGGCTATTTTTGTGTTGTGAAATGCGAATGTTGACCAGCCTAATCACTAGACATTCAAAATAGAAAGAAAGAGCGATGGCCTTTTTGTTTGATTGATGGCCAGTCTTAATCTGCAACAGCCAATCACGGCGTTAACTGAAAATAAGGTTCGGAAGGCAGGCGTACGCGCGATGAATACGTCGATATTTGCATGCGAGAGCCTGCACGTTTTTTCAAAGTTTGGCGTTGTGTCACGCGGCAAGACACGTCCCGAATCGGAATGTGCCACGTGAGATCGTCAGGAGCGCCGCGGGAAATTTTCCAAATTCACTTCATGAGCGTTAAAAGAGATGGGCATTCCGTCCGTCCTGGATGGACGCCCATGTTCTGGGACGGAGGTTGAGAAGTTTTTTTTTTTAAAAAGGACGGATTAAGCAAGGACGGAAGTGGGCTTTCATCCGTCTTAAGTATTGGGTGTCGGGAGGCAAAATTACACGGCCAGAGTGGAGCCAAACACTCTTTGCTTAATAGGCTATTTCGTCTCAACAGTATTTTTATCGCAACGCTGCCACCTGGTGTACAGTCAGACAACATAAAGTGCCTACGCCGCAGGGGTGCCAAACTCATTTTTGTCTCGAGTCGCGTTTTAGTTCACGTTTCCCTTGGAAGGCGGTTATGACTGAACCCATATAAAGAAGTCCAGAAGAGCGATTTTGGCAACTATTGTTACTGTCATGAAGGCTTTGGTAACAAGAAAATGCTTCCATATCGCTCTAGCGATCTGAGCAAGCATCATGGAAGTTTGATCAAGTGATGTGGCGGTCCAGATCTGGCCCCCGGGCCTTGACTTTGACACCCGTGGCCTCGGGACACCCATTTCACTCGCGATCAATCCGGCCGGTTAAGAAAGCTGCCTGCGTTGTACGTCTCTCGGTACCCGCGCATCACGCTGACGGCTACGATTTCCCAAAGTTTTATTTTGATCAGCGTGGCTATTTTTGTGTTGTGAAATGCGAATGTTGACCAGCCTAATCACTAGACATTCAAAATAGAAAGAAAGAGCGATGGCCTTTTTGTTTGATTGATGGCCAGTCTTAATCTGCAACAGCCAATCACGGCGTTAACTGAAAATAAGGTTCGGAAGGCAGGCGTACGCGCGATGAATACGTCGATATTTGCATGCGAGAGCCTGCACGTTTTTTCAAAGTTTGGCGTTGTGTCACGCGGCAAGACACGTCCTTCGTATTTTATACATGAGGCGTTTCTTTCGTGAAGTGACCTAAGCTTTGTCGTGAGCGCCTTGAGGAAGAGGAAAACACACCGGGAAGGACGCTCTTTGTAAGGACGAGGGCCGAGCGTCGACGCTTACTATATGAAGAAGGACGGAGGGCCGATGACGGAAGGGGACCCGGCCGGGTCGGAATGATTACAAAGTGGAGCAAGCATTACTTTCATGTCATTAGCCTTTATGCATTGAGTCTCCGGTACTAACGGCGACGTGGAGTCGGCCGAGTGTGTCCCAGAGATGTGACAGAGTCGGTGCTGAAAAGCACGACGACGTGAGAGAGACGATTCCATGTGACAACAATATTTGAACCAATCATTCCGTATGGGTGTTCTTCGTCAATGGACGAACTATCAGTCCTTTGTTGGAGTGTATCATATTGTATAGGTTGGTGTAAATGCCATGACTTGTATCTGCTTTTATTTTGCCTTGTTGTATTCTGCCGTCCGTCTGCGGCCAGGCCGGCGTTGCAAATGGGAATTGGTTTTCAATGGTCTGACACGGATTAAAACAAATACGAAATTAATAAATCACTCAATACTTTTTGACATCGTAGCAGGCAGTGATATAATACAGAGACGCCATCATCATATCATCACCCCGCCAACCCCCAGGAACGCTCTGTACATTTCCTCAGGAACACTTTGTAGATGCCAAAAGAACCCACCTTTGTGTCTCACTACATATTAAAGACGTGGCACTCGCAGTACTAAGAACAACGCTTAATACTTTCTTTCTATTTTTAGTCATATTGACTTTTTGGACCAGTTTCGGGCGACCAAATAATGACAGCCCCCTCCCCAGACAATGACATTTGACGTTTCTGACGTAAAGGTATGTGCACCGGCTCCATAAACGTTGGGAAACACCAAGTGAAGGTCCCGATGGAGTAAACTACGTTCATTTCATGTCATTTATTACACTGGGAATCAATTGAAGGTTTGTCCCCTGAACCGAAATCAAATTGATTGTCCGAGCAGATGACGAGATTTGGCTGAATGAGAACAGTTTCAACATGTGTCGACATCTAGCATGTGGAACTTGGGTCTGGGGGGGATGCAGGACATCCGTCGCCAATTGCAAAGTGCTGCCAATTGCCGAGCCCACCAAACATTTGACGAAGTTTGTTGGTCAATTCTTGCTCGCTTGCTCAGGCGTTCCACCGTTAGCAGGCTAGCCGTCCGAAACAGGACAGCGCCGGGATCACTTGAATCGGCGTCTCTTCCTCGGGTTTTTCATTGCTGTGACTTGAACATTCGTCACAAAACCATGCCTGTGTTTGAAACGCCAACCGACTCGTTCCTCCTTGCGAATGCTCCCAAATCATAGCGGCTAAAGCGAGCAATTCAGTTCTGGGGGAGGGGAGTCAGCTAACATCCGTGCTAATACCTTCGACAACAAATATGTCAACAACGCGGGCCGCGGCTACCTTACCTTACAATAGTCCGAACAGAACGTTTTGCCGTCGCCCCTTAAGTCGTCACTGGAATAACATCTTATGAGTGATTGTAATTGTTTCTCCAGCCCCTCCAACTCGAGCAAACTGCCCTCCTCCGCCATACTAGCTGCTTAGGCTCGCTCGTAGCTGCCCAGCCAGCAGCCAGCAGCCACACAACACCGCACGCATCGCCGGCCGCTCATTGGCTACAGCGTCGTCAGCCGGAGCGCTCGATATGTGACTTGGCGTGCGCCGACGTCAGCTCGTCAGAGCGGATAATAAGGTTCGAACGCCAAAAAACGTCGCGCCGGTTGAGCGCCTCTTCCATTCGAGTGCCCCCGCAAGGCAGAGCGGTTTCCGAACGCCGATTCGCGGATTGGTTTTGGAACCGATCCTATTGCAGCGATGGTGAACCCACCACGCACTTCCGAGCTCGCTTGTAAATAGTTGGATGAAGTTCAAAGTTGCTCTTTATTTTCTTTGTCACAAGTGCGTGTGTGAAGTCTTTGGGGCGGAAGAGCAAAGGAATAGAGAATCAATCGATCAAAGGAATATTGCAGATGACAGAGTAGGAGTGCGATTAGCCTGAAGGTTGTTTTAAGCAGGAGTCAATGTGTCTGGTGACTGGGCAATCCGTCAGCTGTGGCCGATCGCAGCTCCTGAATGAATGTGCGTTTCGTTACCGTCTGCGAGAATAAAGCAACCGAGGAGCGTCGGCAACTGTGTCGCCCTTTAAACGCAAACGTTACATTGGGGTCGCAAGTGGGATTGCGGATGGTGACACACTCAGGGAGATCGAGGACTTTGCAGCTTGCTTGAGAAAAGATGCGGAGGCTTGGAGGAAGGCACTCACAATGGATGGGCCGGACGAGAGGAACAAGCCCCGCTTTCGAGAGCGCTTCCCAAGAGCGGCGAGCATTTCCAGCAGCCACGGACTTGTTGAGGAGGCAACAAGGAACCCTGGACGACAAGAGGAGGAGAAGCAGGGCTGGCATCCATGGGTACATTGCGGAGATCTGCAGCATGGGCTCTCCCAGTGCCCCATTGCCTCCACGCTCCTGGAGATGCCACGGCAACGGGGTGCATTCAAACTGCCGCTACAATGGCCCAAGTCCAGTTGGCAACGCAGTTTCACGGCTGGTCTCTTGAGGAGACAGCAGTCCAGGTCGCCTTGCCCTCGAGGTTAAAGCTCTTCGGGTCCTTATGGACTTCCGACCACATGAGCGTCTTGGTTGGCAGGCTATAGAGGGAGCCGTGCGGCAGTGTTTCGGTTGCCCCGGGGAGAAGTTGTTTAACTGGAAATAGGGAGGAGGCCAGAGTTTGGATGCCAACACTGCAGACCTCCGCCGTCATGCTTGGGAAGGATCTGGTACCTACAACGCCACGGCTCAAGAAGAATTCTCCTTACAAACATTTATCCAGACAACAACTGAATGTGTTGAGCATGTTTTGTCTGGAAAAAAACGAAACAAATCCAATAGAAAACACATCGCCGCCAAAGAAAGTTGGCGGAGAGCAGCGGTGAAGATGATCATGGGGGTGTGGCCTTCCAAGCCACCAGCACAGCGCGGCGATGACAACTCCCAAGCGTGTGGAACGGAAGAGCAGCCGACGGTAAACGGAGGGATGCAAACAATGTGGAAAAGCAGGGGCACATCCCACGCCACTGCCCAGCGCCGGCACCAATGAGCCTCACCTCCCAAGATTTCTTCACAGATGGGGAACTGTCACCCGTAACCAATCGCACTACCGCCTCGCCCTACGAGAACGTGAGTCGGTGAGGCCAGAGTTTGGATGCCAACACTGCAGACCTCCGCCGTCATGCTTGGGAAGGATCTGGTACCTACAACGCCACGGCTCAAGAAGAATTCTCCTTACAAACATTTATCCAGACAACAACTGAATGTGTTGAGCATGTTTTGTCTGGAAAAAAACGAAACAAATCCAATAGAAAACACATCGCCGCCAAAGAAAGTTGGCGGAGAGCAGCGGTGAAGATGATCATGGGGGTGTTGCCTTCCAAGCCACCAGCAGAGTGCGGCGATGACAACTCCAAGCGTGTGGAACGGAAGAGCAGCCGACTGTAAACGGAGGGATGCAAACAATGTGGAAAACCAGGGGCACATCGCACGCCACTGCCCAGCGCCGGCACCAATGAGCCTCACCTCCCAAGATTTCTTCACAGATGGGTAACTGTCACCCATAACCAATCGCACTACCGCATCGCCCTACGAGAACGTGAGTAGGCGTTAGTACTTGCTCTCCGGCGATTCCACCCGTACCTCGATGCACATACTTTCCTTCTGTGCACGGATCATGCACTTGGCTCTTCAACCTTTGGGAACCTGAGGGACAGATGGACGCAAACCTTGCGGAATTACAATTTCAAAATCCGTGTGATAAATATATTGCATCAAGGTGGAGAGGTGCCGTCGTAGCTCGCTTGAGCTTTTGCCATTTGGAAGTTCGCGTGAGAAGGTCTGTCATGTTCCCCGCAAAGTCAGCAAATTCTTTTGGCACTATGATGTTCGATCAAAATCAATCCAAAGTCATTTTTCAGTCTTCATCCCAGGAGATCTGACATTGGAGTGCAGAAGTTTTGTACACTACAAACGTGACACCCTCGGTCGATCCAATTTGCCACATGCAATATGGCGGCGAAGTCGATGTACGATGTAGCCCTCAAGGCGGCCTTATATTTCTACTGGGAGAGAATCGCTGATTGGCCGTGACCTCGATCAACCTTGTCCAATAGAGGAACTGCACACTCGGTTACACCTGCGTTAGTTTCAACGAGACGCAAATCGTCGGAGCTGATCATTCAGGGGGGGGGAAGCTGCGATACAAAAACAAGTCAGTAACGATAGCCGCTGGTTCTGGGATGACAGGGATAACACGGGCAGTACTAGACACCAACCAATACACTCGAGGAGCGGGTGATTATTAAACAAGAATAACCAAACAACAGATTTAAGCAACACAATTCACCAGTACATCCAGGCTCCTGCAAACAAGCGTGTCATCGTTTGGTTTCGAATTGATTATCTCTTTGCATGGGACAGAACTGCAGAAATCACGTTTCGAACTGCGGAAATCACGTTTTGGGACGACGTCAAGCAGGGCTCACCGACCTTTCTGAAGCTGACAGCTACCGGTTTGATACACGCTTCGGAAATGACAAATGTGCTCAAATGGCATTCAATCACATGTTGCCGTTTATGCGATTGTTAGGGCTGGGCCGGGGGTCGTTGGCTAACTCGACCGTTGACTCTACAAAAATTTCTGCCTCAATCAGAGCTGTGTGTGTGGTGGTGGGGGGGGGGTCAATTATCTGAGTGATCCGTGGAATAATTGAAAGAATTATGAATTGTAAAAAGATCTGTTAGTGACGGCCAAGTCCTGATTAATAATTGATGAGATTCATTGATGCGAAGACGCTGAACCTGTTCACGATTTCTTGCAAATACCAACACGCGCCAATTTATTTTGTATCCCTCCCAATGGTTATATTTTCAAATGACCTTTGATCCGACCTTCCTAGAAAATCGCGTTGACCCACCACTACTTTAGGAACGGCCCGCCGGCTGCTCAGGTGGTCCGCGGGGTCTACCGCGTTTGGAACCGCTGGTGTCATCATCGGTGTGCAGCTTGTACAAGGCCACACCGCCATTTCCTTTCTGAGCCGCTGGCAACAAAAGTGAGTGTGTGAAAATGTCCATGGGGGGGAGCGGCAGAGGATTCCGACCCGTGGCCGCCTGTCAGGTTTGAAACTCTGTGCTGGAAAATCTTCAGACTTTTGCCCTCATTTGGACATTTTCACTTGGGGTCAAAGGTGCAACAGCTTTGTCAGTGACAACAATGATTCATGGCCATCATGTCTTATATAAAACCCCCAAAGTTTTTTGTTGCATCTGTGCGGGTAAGGAAAGTTTCTCAGTTGCAGGAGTTAATTTCGCCTCTGTTGTTTTGATTGAATGAAACCAGAGACGCTGATCACAATAGCTTTTGGTTAAAAAAAAAAGTATCTTGTGCCATTGGAGTTTATGTATATCTTTGGCAGTTAAAAAATACATCCTGAAATATACTTCAGTTTTGCAGCTGAATCGGTACAGTACTTCTACATTAAAAAAAAAAGTATCTGTACTTCGAGCCTGAGTTTTTGCCACCTCTGCTTGAAATAGTCATCCAAAATACGATTTTTTTCCCCTCAGTAATCATGAATGAATTTTCATGCCTGTGTGGTGTTTCTGCGACGACGGGCAGAGGACGGCGGCGGGGGGCGTCGCCGAGGCCTTTGTGTACAGCACCAGCACGTACCGGCCGGACTGGCCCTCGCTGCCCCACCACGACAACTACGACTTTCGCGGCGATCACGGGCTGGAGTACGTCAGGAAATAAAGGTGTGTGTTTGGGTTTGTGTGCGGCGACGGCGTTCCCCCACCGTATGATTGATTTGGAGAAAGGCGCTCACTTGATGGATATGAAATAATTGCGCACGTTAATTCGGTTTCAGGGATAAACGGCCTTCTGAGAGCTGCAATGTTGCCGAAGGTGACCTTCACGCGGTCGCTTCGACTCAACGGAATTGTTCACTCGAGATGATTATTTTCTGCGCGGTGTTGTTCTGCACACAAAACGCAACTTTCCTCTTGAATACAAACTGTATGCCTTTATTTGGAATAGAAAAATGTCTGGTTTGGTAAGACAAAAAGGGAATCCTTCTGAAAGTCGTCCATTTCGTTCACCCACTCAAACGTGGGGGCAAAGTAACGCACGGGATGAATCGGGCGGAGCAGGTCGCTTCGCGGCGTATCAAAGGAATATCCAGTGGCTGCAAAACGAGCCGTTTTTTTTTTTCAAAGCGGCACTAAACTCGTGTCGATGGATTGTCACGCAAAGCGAATCCGTTGAACCCAAGATCAGAATGATCATCTTCAACGTGTTTGTCAAATGATTTCGGACCGGCACAATGCCAACCAATTGCAGTAAATGTCAAACGATTCAGTCAGGTTTGTGACGGGGGAGGGGGCGGGACTTGCCAGGAGTAGGAAAACATTATGAATACTCACAAGCTGTGCAGAAAGTGAATGGTGGCGGTGAGGAACCTGCCGTCTGTGTGTGTGTGTGTGTGTGTGTGTACTGGAGGTGGAAAGACTTTTTGCGGATATTAACGAGTGCAAAGCGGCATGCTTTGGTGCGGATTTAAAGTCTTTCTGGCGAGAAAGCAGCTGAGAATCCAGATCTTCACCTGGTGGTGGTTGTGGGGGAATCAATAAAGGTCTTTTCTGGTGCTTGGCAGGGAGCGATTGGTCGAGCACGTGGCACTGCGGATCACCTCCATCCACCTGGTGAAGTACAAGAAAATGGGATGAGGCGAATTTGGGCATTTTAGCAAACGTTTTCAGGGGTGCCCTTTACATCCATCTCTTTCAAATATTTGGGGGGCATTCTCGTGGACTGCTCCCAAGTCCATCGCGAGGGGGGAGGGGTTTTCATCTGGTATATTTTGGTGTCAGTGCAGACTGCACCCGAAAAGTCAAAAAGGCAGGTCGACTTGAACCGACGGTAGCGCACGATCTGCATCACCGGAAGTTGTTGGCGCTCAGCGGTCTGCAATTGCAGCTGGCCATCAGATTTGGTGCCGTTTTTTTCATGATGATTCTCATTCCAAGCTTGTAAAGAATGACAATCTGGAGCGCCAGGAGAAGCTTTTTCAAACGTGAGCTCCAATAGTTAGCATGCTGCAAAAGCGCATCCCGCAACTCCGCCTCAGGTCTCGCTTAAAGTGGACAACGACATCCTTCTCACAAATTTGGATCGACTTTTTCCATTTTGGTTGACGTCAAGAGGCCGCTATGGCTGATGCTCATCGTGGCCTGCGTGCGGTAACGGGTCGATGGCGGGAGGCGGCTTGGCGCCCCCGCACTATAACCTCAACAGGTCAAGTTAATCGACCCCCCCCCCCCCAAAACACGCAACACCAAAAACACCACCTCGTAGG